TTAATCGAGGTCAGAACTTGCACATCTAACGCTAGATTATGTATATAGATTTGAAATTCACGTTCGTAGTTTCGCATGATTGATTACGTGGTTTATTTGTTTATAATTGAATTGTGATTTATTTATATCTTATGATAATATTGGAATTGATTGAACGAGGATGACCAGGTATGTATTCTTACTCTAAATTGTGTGATTTGCATGACGGTAAGTGGAAGGTGGTTACACCCGCCACTAGGCCGCTAGTTGAGTTATATGATTGGTTATCTGATCATTGTTACCCCTCTTGTGTTAACTAAATGTAATCATGTTGTAATTTGGAAGTAAATAAGAAATAGAGATTTATGTTGGAATAAGTCTGAATGGTAGAGATGTTGTAAGTAAATGGCTAAGTTACCTAGAGGAACTCTAGGACTGCTTTAGTACAATTGTAAGTATAAATGTCAATAGATAGGATCAGCCCTGCGGATCTGATATCTGGCGGCTGCGGGTTAAAACGTACGTACGGGATCCAAGAACTGTCGTTCCGAAGGGGACAGGGGTACCACCCACCCAGCGGAGAACTCCTTCGTTGGTCATCAAGTTGTGTTGTGTCATAAGGTATTAAATAAAGTAGACTTGAGTCATGGCCGTAGGTAGTCTGGTAATTGTGTTATGAGCTATGAATACAGAGGAAATAAGGTAATGATTTGTGACTTGTGAATTTATTTGGTGACTGTTATGTTCTATTATATTGTATACTTGTGTGCATGATATTGTATGGAATTATGAGCTAGTGGGTTCGTCTATGTGCGTAGTCGAACGTTAGATAGATTCCACTCAGCTTCAATGCTGAGCGTGTAGCCTTTTTTCCTATTTGCTACACGTAGGTAACATGAATGATGAATAAGGAACTATCTTGGAGGGCAGCGAGGGCAGAGAGATGGATGGATTCTGGCTGGAGGAGTTATCTGCTTAATATTTAAGTTTGAATTATTTATGTTTTTAAGGGCAAGAACCCAAAGTTGTATTTTGACTAAGTACTTAAAGGCTTCCGCACCGTTTTACTTACTCCGATGAATATTTATAAATATTGTTTTTGAATTAAATGTTTTAAATGTTCTGAAAATTATTGTGTCTGAATGCCAATCTAGTAGCAACCCGATCCGCTGGTCCTCGCATTCGGGTCACGCAGGTTGGGGTGTTACAGAGACGCCAGGAGAGAAAGGTCGCTGCAACTGATCGAAATGGTGCTGGTCTAGGGTTTTTAAAAAAGTTTGACTTGTCGCGACGGTCGGTACCTAGGTAACGTGTTAACAGTACCTTGGTACCGTGTATACGGTACGCCATACCGTGTCCAGCTACCGTGCAGCTTTAAAAACCCATTCTTCTCTGGCAGCACCTATTTTAGGACGGGACCTGGGTACCGTCAGGGGTACCGTGTCTCAGCTTCAAGTTTTGTTTCGACTTCTAGACGCGTGTTTTGAGCATTTGGACGTGATCAATTTATTTTTATGATATAATGTGATAATAAGAACCTTAAATTTCACTTTAATTCAAGCATTCCCATTTCCCGACAAATATGTAAAAATTGTTTTTCATCCAATGGTTTTGTAAAAATATCGGCACGTTGTTCAAGCGTATTTACATAATCAATTTGAATGTCTCCCTTTGCAACATGATCACGTATGAAATGATGTCTTATTTCTAT